TTTTTTTTTTTTAATTTCACCCACCAGGTCTCAAAGAATAACAATTTCTATCCTAAAATAATTAGTGAGAGAAATTTCCAACTCGTTCTGGGGATTATAAAGGGAAACTATCTCTGCTTTGATAAAAGTATGCTACTATTCCTGAATTGATACAGTCTGTTTACAATAAACAGACTAGGCAATATGATGCAAGGGCACAGGGTATGCATGGGGTAGAAATTTACACAGGCAAATCTACTATTTTTACCCATTTTGATGATATTATATCATCATTTGATGATATAATATCATTATATGATGCAAGGGCACAGGGTATGCATGGGGTAGAAATTTACACAGGCAAATCTACTATTTTTACCCATTCATCAGAGTTTCTGGCATATTCTCCCCTAGAACTAAACAAAGTAAGCAACGTAAGAAAATAAGGAAGTCCTTTCTTAGGGAACCAAACCCCAGAAATCCTATAAAATGTAGATACATTTCAAAATTTCAAATGTCATTAAAATTTCATATAATTAGGTTAATAGCTTTATAAGGAAGTGCTATGAAAAGAAGGTAGCTTCATGACTTCAACATAAAGAATTATTCAGTTTTAAAATACATGCCAAATTCAAGACTATTTAGATAAAAGCCCTTGGTCTTACTTCTGATTAAATTAATGGAAAATGAGCTCATGGGTGATGGGAGAAAAGCAAACCCAAAGTAGCTGACAGACACAGTTAAAAACTCTAATTCTATTCAGTTGTTTCAGTGTGACTGATCTCAAGAAAAATGAAGCAGTTCTGCTGGGACAGACAGTCTGAGCAGTGGATGGAAAAACAGGAAGAGACTCTGGGGAGAGAACGTCACTTGGGTGAAGCCTGTACAAGCTAGAGATCACTTGGCCTCTCCAAGACCCACCAAGACAGCAGAAGGATAAATGAAATGCCATTTGTATGCATTCTTCCAAGTCCCCACTCTCTCTCCATTTTCTTCAACCAAGAATCTCTCCATGTATCTACCTAAAGAAAAATTTATCTTCTTTTCCTTAATGAAAATCTAAGAAATTTATGAGACAGACCTGTTTCAAAGGCAAACAAGAATCACACAGTGGGGGAATTTTCTCCCTCTTTGGATGCACTCTTTTTGCCCCTGTGAGGTCAGCCTTTGAAGCCCACTCACATAGCTCTATAATATAATGCAAGGATTCTTTAATCAACCAGACACTGGTACTTGATTTCTATACTGGGATTTAAGTGTGCACTGTAGGAAGCTGAAGGACCTGGGCCCAGCACAGTTGTGTTCCTGTTCTGTAGTATCCAGTAAAACCACAATTTCAAATTTTTATTCTAGCATGTTTTCAATCAGCATTCTGTAGAAGGACTGAGTCCCATTACAGCCATATTACATGGTAGAACAAACCAGCCTGACCCCAGGCAAAGGCTTCATCCTCTCCGTATCTCAGTTTCCCTGACTGGAAGAGTAATTATTTTTCACTTAAAAGGGATGTCTTGGGAATTACCTACTTAACATACAGATAAAAAAAGACTCTGAAAGGCAAAGTACAGTGGGGCTGATCGAGTAGGCTTGCTGCAGTAACATGGCTGTTGCCAGCAGGCAGCAGGTAGCACAGATCTCATGAAAGATCACTCGTCGATTTTAAGTTACGTTCATTTTTGTGCTTGTTCTGTAGGCCTCCAGAGATTAAATACAGCTGAGTGCTATTATACAGTTAGCTCCAGCGAATGAAAAATATACTCTTTTAGCAGCTTTATTCCTTTATCAATTACTACTTTAAGAGACTTGTACTGTATTATTTTATATTGGCCAGTTGTAAAAATAATTTATTCCCTGAAGAGTTTTATTCCTTTAACATTTCAAATTTTTTTGTTCAATGTTTAGCATGTGACCATTTCTGACAGAGAATGAAAGGAATACTTTATTAAAGGAGCTAATATAGCTCCTTTTCTTATGTACATTTTGACCATTTTTAAAATAAAAGATCTGAAGAGGATTTTCAGTAACGCAGAAAATCCAGTAAGATTTTTCTGTTTTCAGGTTTCTTTGCACTACTGCATTATCACCCTGGGGGGGAAAAAGATGGAAATACTGTCCAGATTTCTGGTAAAGTACTGGACCTGTTGAGAATCAAGTCCCCTTTCCTCCTTTCTTCTAGGTACATCTTTTTTTTAAGCTTGCTCCCACCAATGTGTGTATAGAATAGAGATGAGTTCTTTACAGACTTGAAACCCTGTAGAAGAGCCATTGGGATGAAAACCCATCAAGTGAGCATAGAGAGCCACTACAGAACTAACAGAAAAGCATGCTTGAACACTGTTCAATGACTGACACTGCCAGGTAGCTCTGTGACTTAGTTTTGTCTCTGAGTGGCTCAAACCACAATGAAAAGAGCTGTTGTGATGAGGAAGATGCCCAGTTGGATTGAAAAGGTAACCACTCTTTCATTTGAGAGCATGGTATCATGGAGGCAGGAGCCCAGAGCAGCCTCCAGTTCAGCAGAGGTGTGTGTGGTCACAGAACACAGTGACATCAGTACACGTGCCTCAGTTGTGGTCATACACAGTACAGTCAATCAAGGATGAAGCCATCTGGGATGAAGTTCATCTAAGGATGAAGAGCAGAATGCACAGGGTGTGCAACAGAGCAGAGCGAGTGTTTGAGCACAACTGAAATAGAACCAAGCTTTTGTGGAGACAGTGTTGCACAGCCTCATAAAATCTCTGCTGCTCAGCAGAAGATGTTGATTTCCTTGCCAATTCATAATTCAGATCAGATGAAGGATTTCCTGAGGTTCGCAAGCCCTGTTAACGATGGGGAGCCTGGCTCAGAGTAACCCTGGAGCTGTTAAAGTGAAAACATGCTGTATACAAGGTTTTGTACAACCTCAGCGCAAACCCTGGAGGCCCTGAAGACTCACCTGAGTTTCACTTTAGGCTACTAAACTCAAACAAACTGTGGGAGAAAAGACTGGCAAAGCTCGTAGACAGCATCTTTCATCAGCAGTTCTCAAAATAGCTTACAAAGGGATTTCCTATTTTATGAGGGCAAAACTGCTACAGTGTGGAAGAACACCTTGTTCTCGACCATGGAGCAGAGCAGCAGCAGAGCAGGGACAGAAGATGAGTGACTTGTGGTCTAGGCTGCCATATTTCCCACAAGACACAACGTCTGAAACAAATTAATACTACAAGTTAGCAGCAAAGTTTTGTACAACTCTAATCAGCAGCCACAGAACACCAGTCCTCCATAAACAACCGCTCAGTTATATAAGTTTATTCACTTGATGTAGATGAAAATAAGTCCTTCACTAACTGGAATGACTTGTGTCAATCTTTAGCCCTTTAAAACATTGACTAATTTTAGACCTTCTGTGGCTAAATACATTTGTAAACTATTAAAACAGTCTCCTGGTACATGGAAAACATATGGTTCCAACAGTGCTATTCCTTCATGAAGGTCTGTTTCTTCAAAGTTTCCTTTAGTTGTACACTAAGCTTGTTTGTTGTTCAGAATTCTTGTTTTTATAACTGTTTTCCTTCCTTTCCACAGCTAGTTACTGGAATGATATATATGTGCATGAGTAAATATATATATTAAAGACACATACTTTTATTGACTGAAGATGTAATGATATAGTGCTAGTCAGAAAAGAGTATAAAAGATGCATATCCCCAGGAACCCATTTTCTCTCTTAGCTGGTGCACTGCAAGTTTGCAGGGAGGAAATGCTGCTCATTGTGCAGTTTTAATTTCTCACACATTTGGTGAATACATTAAAAAACAGGGAAGAAGACAGCCTGCCCAGGCCAAGATCTACACATCCATTCAGAAAGAATCCCTACATTTTACTGAGGCTACAGTCTACTAATGAAGAATGTCCATTGTTTCCTCCACCACTCCTAAAGTATTAAGCTATAGTTACTCCTGTTTTAACTGTTTTTCCTGGGACAATCTTCCATGTCAGACTGTAATCACCGTCTTTGGCTCACTCTACAGCCACCCAGCATTTGCCTTTCCACTCTGGACTGAGCACTGCCAACCTTCACTGCTCTGATCCCCAGGTGGTTTGTGAGCTTGAAGGAAGCCGTGCTTCTCTCGGGCACCTGGCCTGGCACTGCAGACTGCTCTTGGGTAAACTGGGAATCTTAACCTTATTTTGCACTATTGCGCTTCATGATTGTAAGGGAGAAGTATAGCAAACAAGAGCCGGTTAGTGTGGAGTGGGAAACAGTCATCCTTAGCCAATGCTTGGAGCAGGGTGCAAACCCAGGAACTCCAGGAATTCCATCAGCCTTTGGTGGAGAAAAATTAAGTAAGAGGCCATTTCTCAGCAGCCAAGTGGGCTACAGTGAGCATCACTCATCCAGTTCTGAAGAACAGTGGGTCTTGCCTAACACCAGGCCTGAATACATTACAAGAATTATGTCACTTATAGAAGAGCAAAAAGCTTGCCTTAAAGACATGGAGATCTGTGTCTCTTGGAAACAAGCTAGACATATAGTGACAAATCAAGGAAAATGGCTGAGAAAAGTGAGTAAATGGGATGGAACAGAAACAGAATTGGAAAAGGCATGGTGACAGAAATGCAGGATATAAGTTTGGTACTGGATTCTGTTGCTGGACAAGGAAAAACAAAAGCCAAACAAGTCCATAAATTCATTTCAGATATTAACTGCATTGCTTAATGAACTTCTGCTACATGCTCATATTACAACTCCAGAATGGTAATCTCTAAAATAGATCTAAAAACTTTTTCAAATGTGTTTTTTCCCCTTGCATTTTACAGCTTTTAAGATCAAATTTCATTTTCTGTGAATTTATGCTGCCAACCTTGGGACTGACTGATGTGTACCCATCTTGTTTGTACAAAGAAATCTATAATAATGCTCATGCAAAATGTGGATGCAACTCCAGAAGTCAGAAGGAAACACTTGAGCATGGAATCAGCATTAATAAATTAATAGATTTATGGCTCAGTTTGCCCAAATAGCATTGTTTTACCTCCAAGCCACTGACTTTCACTTGGCTATGTCTGCATTCAATCCATAAGGCAATAGGAGTCTTTGAACTGTGAAAGCAGAAGGGAAAAATTTGGTAAGCGAGAGACCAAGGAAATGAGAACTAGACCTGGCATAGGAGAATAATTGTCAGTTAAGAAGTAATGGAGGGAGAGAAACACTTGAAGGAATAGGTGTCTGTACAATGACTGGAGGTACTTTCGAAAGATCTAATAAATCTGTAATGCAAATATAGAGAAGGCAGCACTAGGATAACAAGGGAGTAAAAATATATAGATTCCCTTTATGCCTAAAAATGACCACGGACATAGTAACTATCATACATAGTTTTTAAGTGAGCACATCTAAACTATTGTGCTTGAATTCTGACCTCTTGTTTGATGTAAAATTAAGTTTCAAAAATGGAAAAAGAAAAAAATGAACTTGGCCTCCCAATGGGATACTAAAAGGAGTGCTACTTGCTTTATTTGTCCGTGAACCTTTTTTGCCACTCCTGCAAGGACAGTGTGAAGGACAATTACATCAAGTGTAATGAAATGAGTGCCCTAATGTGAACACTTCTCAACAGGAGATCCATGACGCCTTGACAAACTGAAATGCCAGAACCCTCTGCCATCACTGCTCTGTCCGGAAACTGCCCTCAAATATTTGAGACATTCCTGGAATTAATAAATAAGTGCTGATTTGGCCTGGCTGGTTGCTGCCTGGTATCCCTGGCTGGCACTGCCTTACAATGGATGGCATTGTTTTGTTGCAGCAATTCTTTTGCTTTTCTTCTTAAATTTCCCAGTGCCAGCAACAGGAAGACTGATTAATTTCAACTAATGTGACTGTTGAATCAAAGATATGACTCATTTTAAGGAAGCTTTTGTTGGATGCTTAGTCTATCAAACCATGCATACTTTAGATTATTTGGTTATGTAGACAAAATGATCAGGCAGACACAACGGTTTTTGTTGAACTCAGGTATACTTTACTTTTGTACTGAAAAGCTGGACATGAACAAAATTATGCTGCAGCCATGTAAAGTCTATAACCAATCCTTTCTGTGCTGTCTGGAAAGGCATGCATAGTATACAGTATGTTGAACTTATCAGAAAACGACAAAAAGCAAGTAAGAGGAAAAAAAATGTTTGTCAGCCTCAAGTCAGTGAAGCTCTAGTATTCAGAATTTGCTTTATGCAATATGCATAAATGTCAGGTCACAATGCAAAAACTGGGAAAGGAAAAGAGGATATTTTCTCTTGTGCTTTTGTGCCATGGAGCAGCCCATAACACATCAGTTAACTTGCGGGTTCTTGCTGGACTAAACAGAATAACGTATTTCAAACATTTCTTTAATGAATAAAACTAAATGTAATACTACAGATATTGTCTCTGTTTTTTGAAGCTCACATGTACAGAGCTAAGTTTCAGGGGAAGTTCATCAGAATGCCTTTGGAAAACACTCGTCTAGGATCATACTGTTTGCTTTTCTATCCGTGCATTTTCATAACCAGCTTTCATTTGCAAAAATGCTTCCAAATGTTAGTTATTCAAGACTCACAATGGCTGAAATGGAAAAACAGTGGTAAAGGGCCATTGTGATCTACTCAAGGCCACAGAAAAACCCCAGAAAATTTTCTTGTATCTGAAACATGCTTTCATTATTATAGAAATAACTGTTCAAATCACCCACACTTCTGTAAGAAAAATACAGTCCTGATCCTCTTATTCAAAGTATTTAGAAAGAACTCATTTGCAAGATAGATAAATATAACATTCATGGTCCTTTTGATACATGCAACATGCATAGTCCTTTTACAGAGAAGAAAGGAGGACTGCTCTGGGTATCCAAATTACCTTCAAGCCTTCACTACCAGGTAATTTGATTTGAAGCTGCAAAATACATGCAGAAAGTCTCCCGAATGAAATGGGAATATATGGGGGCAGATGCTCCATTTAGCCCAGTCCTCCCTCTCCAATGGAGGTCAAGAGTAATCATCTAGAAGAAAATGTATGAAACAAGAGCAAGCCTCTTATCATACCTCCTAGAATATTCCTTCCCTTCAGTGATTTAGCTGAGATAAAAGGACGTTTGGAAATAGAAAGAAACAAACAAAAATTTAAACAGTCCAGAAATATGGAAGATTACCCTACATTAAAACCTGTGTCCATGTCAAGCAATGCCAGCTCAGGGGAAACCCAAGAGGAAAGCTCAAATCAGAAGTAAAGAAGACCTGTTCTTTTTCTGACTACAGACAAGTGTGGCAATGCTGGGTAGTGTTTAACCCCTTTATTTAAGCTATCTGTAAAATAAAATCTGCATGTAGACAATAACCTGTAAAGAGAAATCTGTTATATCATAACAAGACTATCAAAGGAGGAGAATAATTAACCCCAGGCCAATTTATCTTCATTTATTTTAGAGAAAAATCTAAAATCCTGACTTTTGGATTTTCAACATTAAGCAGGAAGGATTTCTACTCTTAGCTGCAACTTTGACCCTAAGAAAATTGCTACAGGTTAGACACAAAGGCTGAATTCCTTAACTTCAGAGCTTGGAGGTAGTTTAAATCCCAACTCACACCAAACTTGTCAGACTTTTCCTGTACACACACACTCCTGTTTTCCTGCAGGGGAGATGTCTGTTGGGGGAATTCCTCTAATACTTTTCTGCTGTAAACTGGTACTCTTTTCTACCTTCTCATCTGATGGCATTCTCAGTATACAGATGGGAAGACTCAAACATTTGGGATCCCTTCCTCTGTAGCTACAGAAAGGATTTATGTATGAATATTAGCAGAAGTATTGTGAAGAAATCTGCACTAAGAAGAAAAAATGACCCTGAGTTAAAAAAAAAAATTCAAAGCTCTGACATCTAGGAACCCCTGTCACAAAGACAAACAAAGAAGTAAGGAATGCTGGACAACTTATTTGCCTAACTACAGGACATCTAGTCTGATAAACTCAAGTTGCCTTGATTCAGAAGCAGAAACTGTAACAAGTTAAACATTTTCAAGGTAGTTTCACTTTTGTTTGTTATTGGTTTGAATATTCAAAAAACCAAAACTGGAATAACGGACACATACTCATACAGGAGGGAAAGCAACCCAATTCCATTCATTGTTTTAAATACAACAGAAAGTAATGTTATTCCCACTAGCAGAAATGGATCATGAAGCTACTCTTCAGTTTGTTCAATCTCTGCTGCACTCAAAACAGAGATACAGAGAGGATCCCTAAGCATACTTTTCTGTTTTTCTCATTCCACCTGGAAAAGAAGGCTGAGCCTGTGCATGAGTTACTCCCAGTACATCCAAAGGCACTGCCTATGGGGTTCTGCAGTGAATTGTCTGCCTACAGGGAAACCTTATGAAAAGCTTTTAACAGATTCCTGCAAGAAGAATTAAGCAGTTCTTCAGAGAACAGATGGAAGGAGAAAAAAAACATTTTTCCATCGCCGGCACCTGCTCTAGCCTCATATAACTAGATGATTATAGCATTCCTGTCTTAAATCATTCTCAAAAGGGGACCAAGTTTAAACTTTACAAACCTCAAACCCTAATTTAACCAAATAAAATACTACTCAACCTCATTGAATGCTTTATACAAATTCTTAAATAAAGGAGGTAGAGTTCTTCTCAAGTGAGATATCATCATATTTATTTTAACTTTAGACCTAACTCAAATCCTGCAACTCTGTGAATAAGAAAGAAAGAAAAATAAAAGTATTTCAAGTGTACTTGCCAGATTCCAACCTGGGTAAACACAATTTCCTCATTTCAGCCTGTTTTGCAGTTTTAACAGTCTAAGTTTTCTCCCTCTATACTTTAGGTTAGTAATACTTGTGTTTCTTATTCCAAAAAGGGTCCTGTTTTTTTGAAGCAGATGATAAAATTCCTGTGCAGTTTCTTAAAAAATTTAAACCTCTGATTATAAAAACATGCAGTCGTATACTTAGCTTACAGCTGGTTAGCTATGACACTGAATTTTTAGTCCTACAGGACTAGTCACATGCTTAAATAACAAGCAGTTAGAAGTATTCACAAGAGTTTGTAAGTTCCATTAGAATTTTTTCAGGTAGACAAACCTACCAGAATTCAAAATACTAATGCCAGGATTTATATTTCTGTCACTTCTCAGAAAATATAACAAATATATATAACATATATAACATAAAATGCATATGTAAGGTAAATATTTCAATGTTTACAAATGCAGTTCCCAGTAGAACTGAGACATCTCAAAATCAGTGACAGCCTCAAATTCCAAAAAAACCCCAAATCTTTCTGAACCATTACATACAGAAAATTGTAGTGCCCATCACAAAATTTTTATAATTATTACTGGTAGCTTTTCATGTTGTTACTACTTCTTCAATTAAAAAAAAAAAATTATTGAGCAGAACATCTATTTTGTTTTGCATCCTTTTTAAACAAGAACATAAACTATTTATGTACTATTTATGTACTCAGCCTAGAGGTACCTACGTGTACAGCCCATCCCATGGCATACAGGTGCCACTGGAAGCATTCCACTTAGATAAATGTTTTTTTGTTGCAGACTTCTTGGGAAAGTTCCTGGAGCTGTAACAATAATTGCATTGAAGCCAATGAAAGTTGTGGGTGTGCCATTAAATGAGAAACAAATAGGTCCACGCAGGCTTGTACAAATTAGAAATAGTCTAAACAGACTGCAAATCTCCTGCTGATACTTTAATTTGGATTTTTAAACCAGAAATTTCTTCATCTGCTTTTCGCTTAGCAACATCTTCATTTTATCCTGCCTTTCACTCAGAAATCTGGTCATACACACGGTCAAGACCAGGAACATAAAAATCTAGCATTAAATCCTGAAGCACTACTTGCTTGTTTCTTGGTCAAAATCCCTGCTGAGATCTATAAAAGAGTATGGACTAAAAAAAGCTGCTGAGAATTTATCTAACTCAAAAAATGGATAATACATTACAACACGGTCCTGTGACAGTCCACCCAAACTGGGAGAACTGACACACAAAAGGATTTCTTCCATGACCTGCAAAATGCACTTTGTCCTCTTTTTAGTAATTTCCTCAGGCCTTTTGCTGGAATACAAACGAGTTCTGAGGTCCATTGTCAAAAATGCAGACACCTTACAGTGCCCCAGTTTTAAATCTCAGGAAGACACCTATGCACCTAAACCATTCTCCTCACCCTGCCAAATGCTTTGTTCAGTAAAATGATACAATAGGACTGGTTTGACAGGATAGGCACTGCATTCTACTGCTGAAATTATGTATTACTAAACATCCATAAGTAAAATTAAGACTAACCTAAAACCAGTGCTCATTACTTTTTTCATATTATTTAAGAAAAGGTATAATTCACAGAAATTATTTTATGTTCCAACAAGTTCTTAAAGTAGGCAACCTCTCCAAAGCTGCACAGTAAGAATGTCACAACATTTTGTTGATTGGTGCACTGCACTTCACATTAGATGCCACAGAAAAAGTCCAGGCTGAAAAATACTTGTGGGTACAGTGGATTCAAAAAAACAATTACAGAAACAACAGAAAATATTTTAAAGAAATAATTCAGCTGCTACCGGATGAATATCTAATATATATACACTGAATAAATATATTAATGATATACACTGATTTATATATATATATACACACACACTGAAAAGTTAGATGGCATGGTCTCTAGTCTGTCATGGAGTATGCATGAAGGGGTTCTAGTGTTTACACAGAGGAAGTAAAAAAGCACATTTTGCTCTTTGTATAGTCTTACATAAACTTCATAATGTCAAGGACAATACATCCTCCTGGCTAAGGGACAAGAAGATCTGCTATCAAGGAAAGTTTGCTGAATGACACTCACCTCCTGCCACACAAAGTTTAAGTCTGGAGAAGAGAATGGTGTCTTATCTGCTAAGGGAAAAGACCTGAAGTAAACAGAAAATTTACTTCTCTGTCTATTCCTCTGTAGCAGAATGATGTGTTAGGCTGTGGAATAGAGTTTCTGGGAACAAAGTGTCTCAAAACTATGAAGAAAATTCTCTAGAATAAGATAATAAAGTTTCCACTATTTGTCTCCTTGGAACTTTCCTGTACACAGTTAAAAACAAGTCTACCAGTCTACTATGCCACCTGTAATAAAATTCCATGCATCAAAAAATCAGAGAATCATTTAGGCTGGAAAGACTCTTAAGAGCATCGAGTGCAACTGTTAACTGAGAACAGCCAAATCCACCACTAAACCATGTCCCCCAGAGTCAAACCCACATGTCTCTTAAATACATCCAGGGATGGTGACACCACCACTTCCCTGGGCAGCCCATTCCAATGCTAAACCACTCTCAGACAGGACTGCTGACCCAGGATGGAAAGTGGCTTGGCGAGCACTTCAGCCAGTACCTCCACTCAGTAGG